TTTATTGGAGGACGCTGTTAATCTATAATGATGATGATTTAAAATTGGATATTCACTGGCAGTTTAATTTAAGATTAGCTCAATTCTCCAGTATAGCCAGACAGGCCACGTGGGCGAAGCCGCGGGTCACAGTTAGTCAATCTAAACCCATAAACTGACTCGTCCTGATTTACTGATTCATTTTGTGGAGTGGAAACTCAATAAATAAGGACTTTTGGAAATTCAACCCATTCAAATAAAAAACCCATTCATTCAAATTCGATTTAAGTGGACGAAAGTTCTTAATTTTTTAGACTACTAATAAAAATTTAGTATAAACCTATTTTAGCAATTGAGGAATCGAAAACCTATTTCAGCCATTGAGGAACTATGAAAGTTGGCATTTTGAAGAAACATCGAAAATAATTTTTGGGCTACTATTTATAAACTGCTGCTTCTACATTCATATAACATTAGCACAGTAGGAAGTAGCAGGGTGTACTCACCTGTTCCATTATTTGCCATTGAATTTGTGCACAAAGTTGCAGTGTACTTTCATTGTGGACTTCCTGAGGAATCTCTTGTGACAGGTGGAACACTCGTGCGGCCTGGTGTCAGCATGCGATCGGAGGTGCACTTGCAGACTATAGACAATATGTAATCGATAAAAACATCCATAAGTCATACAAAGTATCTATTATGTACTAATACTCTTCAAATTATCCTCAGAAAAATAAACACACATTTGGTTTAGTGACAGGTTAATATTGTAATTATATATATAAATAATTATTTATCAAGAGGTAGTTTCTGACTCTATTCATTTGTAAGGGATAATCTGCAGGAATACTTATCCCATCATCAAAATAGGCTAGTTGACACCTTTTTTTTATTTCATAAATAAATAGTCCATTAACATCTGAGAAATAATGTCAAAGTAACAGCATGTCTGCGATTAATAGTTTCGGAGATACGGTACTGTGTTTGTAGAACTGCTGCTAGTTGGCCGAAAACGCTCCCTACAAATTCAAGGCACTCAATGACGTCACACGGTGCTACAGTAGCGAAAAATGTATGGGCGTCTGGACAATTTTTGTAATATCTTTGTTATTTGAGCGTTTATGTTTATAGCTGTTATAATGAAAGTTGTAACATTTTTTATATCTAATTTAATGCCTTGTGTATTTTAGCAAATTTTTGTAGTAGATTTTTTCTACTTTTTTCAAGTTTTCAAAGCTAAATATTCTCCAAATCAGTGACTTAAAATTTGTTTTGTTAAACATTTATAAGTTAAAATGGTTCATATTTATCGAAGAAATAACAAAAACCTGTATTTTCACTTGTAGGACACAAGCCTATTCTTTCACCTATGGGTACCATCACACGCAGACAAGATAGGCTACAATTTATGCAGGCAAAATCGCAGGAACAGTTAGTGTATTAATAATAATAACACTTGTGTGTTATCAATTTATGTTGTAATAATATTGTCAATCATTGGTTTAAACGACTTGAAAAAACATGAACCAAATATGCTCTAAGGTTTTATTCCTACTTAAACTGTAACTTATCCTTTAATAACATGATATAAAAAGTATTGTTATTTCATTTTTAAATATCAATATATTATCATTATATTCATCATAAGTACTGATTAACATTTTAAAATGTAATTTCTTTCAGTACATTTCATTAACCTTTAGTGCGTACATTGTATTTGGATATGTTGAAGGATTAATTGGACTGTGAAATTAAGTTTACCAATTGCTATTGACAGATCAATCAGAGCTTTAATTATATTGAATGAATGAATGAAGAATATGAATATTCAACTATACACTTCAGTAACTTAATGAGTGTTATACTAACTTAGTTCTTCTGCTTAACATTTTGTTGCAGACAGGGCACTGAATCTTCTGATCGGTATGTACCAAGTAGTGTCTCTTCAGTAAATACTGAGCAGTGAAGCTGCTCCCACATTTTTCACACACAAAGTTTTTCTCTGAACAATGAACCTTACGTATATGAGCTTTTAATAAAGTTGTAGATGAGAATACCTTGTGGCAATATTGCTGAAACAAACATTTATCACTTTCAAATCAGATACAAAAGTAAGCTTAGAGTCTAAAAAGAATAGCAATGTTAAGTTTGTATATCAAGAATCATGTAAAAACTATTCTTTACATAATATGTATAAAACAAAGTGGCTTCCCACTGTCTGTACTCTAAGATATATGCTGTTGTAGTTTAAAACTACATAACAGATTTTAATGTGATTTTGCAATTTTCACTTTTTTGCAATGCGGGTGACTGCTCTTCGGATTGCTAAAGGTCATGGGTTCAAGTCCATCTCGGAGTGCAGGGACAAAGTGGACTTTTTAAGCAATTTTCATTAAGAGGATTATTTTAAATTATACTTTATTGCACAAATTATGAATTAATAACAAACCTGGGGACATGATAGGTTTGATTGCCCAATGTTCATGTTATACTTTCTCCGTTTACCCTTTCTTTCTATAAAAGATACATTATCAACAATAATTCTATCTTCCATTTCAATTATTTTTGAGTCTGTAACAAACAAAACAATGTTTGTATAACAAACAATAGAATTAGTGGCAAGAAACTGTGGCAGCAAGTCTATATGATTGAATGATCACCAATAAAGAATGACATCAATAAAAGTATCAATAAAGTACAAATGAAGCTAGGGGTTGTGCTTAAGACACATTTGTCCAAAAAAAATCAATTAAATTACCATTATTTAGAGTTGATGTCACATTATCCTTAACGCCTAAAGGTTCAGCAAACACAACCAAATTTAACCTGTACACTTTCGATTCCTCTATATCATCGCCAAAATTTTCTAAAGGCTGAAAAGACACAAAGGTAGCGGTAAAAATGCGGATAAAGAAATATGATCGGTAAATATTCAAGTAAAATTATGAATAGCTAAGCGAGTAATGCCTTTAGGCTTATATTCAATAAAACATAAAACAATACATATCAACTCACATCACTGTTGTTTTTAGGATCGCTGATAAAGCTCGTTTCTGTACTATAATAGTCATCTACGATGAAGGAAATTTCATCACCGTGCTGATTACTCATATTTATGTTATAAAATTGTAAGTATTTATTACAAGTGAAAATATGATTTTCGAAAATTACCCACCACAAACTACTTCCACAGACTTAGTAGGTATACTACTTCTATCTATTTATTATAGGGCTAGGGTTCGACGATACTTTCGATACCGAGTAGGTATCAATACTTTCAATATCGATTCTCGATACTGAGTACTCGATTCCACAGCCGATAATATATCAAAAGTACTCATAAAAATTGCCGGTATCGGCCTTAATGTTGAGCTTGTGATAACCTATACTATTATTTGTTACGCTGTTGATTTCAATTATAATAAAGAAAATAAAATAAATTCTAATAAAGTAAATTAATACTGCGTACCTAGTAGGTATTACTATATAAAGTGTAAACATTAAATTACACGAGCGGACACAGGGAAAATTAGAAGCACTTAAAAAAAATATCCGTATACATATCCGCGGATCTTGACACCAAATATCCGTATTCGGATCCGTATCCGCAGATTTACATTTTTAACGATCCGGCACATCAATAATTGTCATATTGCGCTTATATAGAATCTATTCTTCGCTACGGGTTTATATTCTGGGGCAACAGAACTAAAAAAGTAGGGTCACAGAAGAAATGCATCAAGCACTATCTGTGGAATCGCATCTGATCTATCGGGTATACCATTATTTAAAAGTCATGGATTATTTTTGTTACCATCTCTCTTTATTAATTAAGTGGCTGTTTTTGTCCTTGATGGACAAAGAATTTGATATTTAGTGACATTCCTAGATTGGATAAGATAAGTATAGGAATAGTTGTGACGATTTATAACAATATTCCTAGGGATATAAAAATTTGAATATTATAAATATGTTTAAGAATAAATTATACACTTAAGTGGCTAAATTACAATACATTTTATGACATAATACTGTATCGAATTATTATTAAGGTATGTAATATAATTTTATTTAGACGTTGACCATTTTCCTGTATAAATATATTTCCATACTGTTATGTAATGGTGAAACATGTGGACATTAATAATTCTGTAACAACTTTATACCATGTTTTGGGCAAATAAATGATTATTACTATTTTCTTGACTACACGACACGCTATAGAACTAAAAGACAAAATTTCTTATTTCAGATAATCCTATAAAGAATGTGTTTAATGAAATAAAATAAAGCAATGAACTCCAAATCATAAATGTTGTCTGAGATAACACTAGAACCGACCTTTAGCAATCTAGGCGACTGCTTTAGTTACTGAACTACCAACAGAGTTAACCAATTTTTCAAGCACTTGTTTTTTTATAATAACAATAAAGCATTTATTTTGTCAATATATAACACAACACAGTATAAAACAAACAAAACAATTAACAGTTAAGTACATACAGAAACTAAAAGTGTAATTTTGTTTGCTAACTTTTCGTTACTAGTGAGCGTATTTTCAACAACGTTTAGGCAATCTACCCAAAAAGTCAAAAGAAATATTTTTACAAATATTTTGATGAAAATTTGTTCTAATTATTATATTTGACCAATATTCCACTCACAATTTTAAATATTTGTTAAAAATATTGCTTTCGGCTGTTTGAATGGACTGCCTAAATATTGATGAAAATACGCTCACTAGCAACGAAACGTAACAAGTGCTTGAAAAATTCGTCAGTCTTGTTGGATCCTGGGTAGCTCAGCGGTAGTAGTCGCCCGGATTGCTAAAGGTTGTGGGTTCGAGTTCCGACCCGAAGTTAGACCAAAGAAAATAGAATTGTCAGTGTTGTCGGATCTGATATAACGGATAATATCGAGTTGAAATTCATTTGTTCGATTATTTTAAATCCGAAATTTCAAATAATTTCTGATTCAAAATATTCGAACTAAAATGATTCAATTTCAGTTCGTTCTCCACCACACTACAAGAAATTTAGAGTGACAGACTGTGATTCGCTACTCGCTTTATTTGATAGAAAATAGTAGGAAATAAACGTGTTTATTTGATCTATAGCAAAATCTCTTCTTCCGATAAATCTATTAGCTATTTTATCGTGTGAAGTGAAATCGGAACAAACTTCTTTTTTTTTTAGTTTAAATTGTGTTTGTGGCTATTTGTTTGCATTATCGTTTAGGTGGTTTCGCAATTTAAAAAATGGTTGTAGTTTCATCGAATTTCTCGGCGCCGGTGGATGGTATTCTTCTTGAGACACCATCGACGAAGCTTTTGGTGAACGATCAAGAATTGGGCACGGCTACCTTGTACATCACAGAACAGTACGTACTTATTGTCTACACATCTCATGTTTCCGACACGTGATTATATAAATATTTATTATTTGTTTCTTATTTATATTATACACCTACTTTGATCGTAAATTAGCTAAGTTAAGTGTTTATTAGATGTCGGATACTTATTTACTTAAGCTTAAACTATACAATTTTGTATTGCAGTAACGTAGTGTGGGGTGGTGGCGTCCGACCGACTGGCGGGCCGGCACCAACCATCAGTCTACTTTACCCGAGCATATCCTTGCATGCTGTACAGAGAGATCCATCTCCTGCTCTATATATGGTTCTAAATTATGAATTGAGGTTTGTGTTTCATTATTTTTAATATTGATATACTTGATGGAGATTATTGTAATGCTTTCTCATATAAAAAATTTAAAATGCTTGTTATGCTACTTCAGTGTGACTAAAATCTATATATGTGAAATGATTTAATGCTTGTTAGTATAAGTAAAGAGTACATATTCATGAAATTTTTCAAGTCTCAAGATGTTAGCGGCTTGGCGGCTAAAGAATTAGAAGATAGCTTTAAATTCTGTTTATATGATAAATAATACTATACACACACTGTGGGAGCACACCCTGTAAAGCCAAAACCAGATGAAGACCAAATCTGAAATGAAATTATTGAAGGATGTCTAGAATCTGTTGTTAATTAGAAAAGGAGAAATCACCTGAACAATTATCAAAATCTACATTAGTTCTGCCACACAAAAAGTGCTTAAAGATGAAATAAATCACTATAGACCAATCAGTTTAATACCTCACCTAAACAAAATCTTTTCCAAGGTTATACTTTATAGAATAAGCAACAATTTAGAAGAGAACCAACCAAAAGAAAAGATAGATCACATTACATAGATCATATACACACACTATGATGAATAATGCAGAAATAAAGCAAGGTATATTACTTGGCTTTCATCAATTGTAATGAGGCATTAGATTCCATAAAGCGCAAATATATATGGGAAGCATTGAGAAACCAGTTTACAAATTTAATAGATAAGGATAATCAGAGAATTATATAAAAACCCCACAGATGAGATACAGATGGAAAAAATAGGAGAAGAATTTGAATTAGAAAAAGGAGTTAGACATGGAGACCTATTATCACCTAAACTGTTCTCAGCTGCACTGGAATATATATTGAGCAAACTGAACTGGACAGAGGAGGAGCATGCTAAGTGCTAAATTGAGAGACTTGAGAGATTGACATAATAGCTAGATCTGGTGTGAGATACACAGTGAAAAGATTGAAATGGAAATGTTAAGACATACAATGAGAAGCTATAAATGGTCCAAAGATGAAACTGTGTGGTACCCTAGGGATGAGAAAAGAATATAGACATACAGGAGGATGCATCAGGACCAACATGGACTATAATGGCATAGACAAACAACTTTGATAAACTTTAGGGGGAGGCCTTTGCCAAAGCGCAATCAGATTAAGGACTTTTTTTTTATATGTTGATTTATATATGGCTGAATAGAGGCTTATTTTATTTACTATATATAAAAAAAAATACAGTGATTGGTTGCTTAATAAAGTCTGGTCTGTGAATTATATTTTTAAAACTTATTATGTTTTTTCAGATTGCCTGAGCTCACCAGCCAGACAGGCAGCGGCGACAGCACTGCACCAGATGATGACGATGATGAATTTGATGCCGATGATCAGCCTATCACACAACTGAGGTATTGCCACTTCTCAAAATATGAACTTAACCATAAATTTAAATATAAGTTTTACTTAACTTCGGAATAAGGTAACAAAATAGCGATTCTCGTCTATGAATTTTTCATATAGTATTATATTAGATAGCATCCCAAATTAATTAGCTACATATTATGTGTTATGAGATTCTTGAGGGACTAAGGTAAAGGTAAAGAGCCAACAGTGTCAGTGTAGCATCCAGAATCAAAACAGTGTAGGATCAAACCTGGGAGACTAGAGATGGGAATATCCTCAACCATGGTATGAGAGCTACTCTGTGACAGTTAGAATAATATAAAAATAAATGTTTGTTGTAGATTTATACCGCAGAGTGAGAGCGAGCTGCAAGCGATGTACGCTGCTATGTCTCAGGGGCAGGCATTACACCCCGACCCAGCTGATGAATTAGATGAAGATGAACATTACCTGGATGGTGAGGAATTTGAAGAGGGTTAGTATTTTACTGTTTATTTAATACCAACCAAAGGCGATGTGTGTGCCCAAGCATTAAAAGATTGTGTACTGTAAGCTGTTCAGGCGAGTACTCTTTACAAGTGAGCTACTAGGACTAGTGAGCATATGTTCATAAATGTTTAATCTTCCCAAACAGCCTAAAAATGAAAGGCGGCTATTAGACCGACCTGGAACCCTTCAGATACAGTTCCCTTTTTTAAGATAATAAATAAATGTATCAATACTTAAGCCTCTCAACACAACACATGATCAGCGATCATCCATATTGGAGCTAGGGTCAAAACAGACTTTCAATATATTTTTTTAAATTAGATAAGTATAATGGGCCCTCCCATTAAAATATTATATACAAAATTATATATATAATAAATAAATAAATAAAATAAAAATGCCTTTATTATTCCATTTGGCATGTGTACAGTACATGTTAGTAGGTTATCGTTACGTATCCTCTAGTCTTATGCCACCTGGACCCCTCTTACGGGTGAAGGCCTCCTCCAGAGATTGTCACTTAACGCGTTTTTTTGCCAGAATTGGCCAATTTCTTGTACCGAATGATTCTATTTCGTCCTTCCATCTCGCTTTTGGTCGGCCTCTGCTTCTATATCCATGGGGACCACTCCACATAGTCACAGTCTTTGTCTACCTCTTATCAGTGTAGCGTGCCACGTGGCCCGCCCACCTCCATTTCAGGCCACGAGCGATGTACAAGACATCTATCACACCAGTCTGCTTTCTTATTTTCCCATGGCGAACCTTATTATATATATATATTAGGGTGTCCCTTCAATTTCAAGTTCGATTTATTTTAACGCATACCTTCTTAAAACTTTCGTACTAACCCAATATAGTCTAGAAAAAAATATTAGCTCGTTTTACAAACGATAACCCGTGCCGACTTGTGATTTAAACTCGTTCATACAAGTAGCGAGGGTACCGCACTGCGATCTGTTACTACGCGTTTCATTTATCATTTCACTCGTGATTTTAAGATTGTTAGTGCGCTATTATTTAAAGTATAAAGATGTCGGTGAAATTGCGGAGTGATAAACAAAATATTTTCCTTGTCGGACTGCCTAGCCATCAAATAAATGGTGCAAAATTACCATCTAATCGACAAGTTCTCTCTGTCTTATTTTACAATATTCGCGAAGTTAAGCTAACTGTCAGTGAAAGCGCAAATCTTGTGATTAGGGAGTGCATTATATTTTGGGAAAAGGCAAGAATTCCCACAAAGGCATTTCCTAACTGTGTGAAGAAACTTGTTGATTTATATAATGTTTGGAGAGAGCTACAAAAAAATTGTAAGAAAACTCAGGTCACTTTTAGGAATCGTGAAAATAATTTTAAAATTGACATTGATAACTTATTTGATATTGCACATGCTGATGCCTTTGAGAGAATGAAGATAGAGGAAGACAAATTATTTTTAAAGAAACAGAGAGAGCCAGGTCGACCTGGATGCTTAGGCGGTGTAGACAAAAAATTGGCGGACAAAGAAGAAAGAGCTAGGCAAAGACGATTGGAAGAAGAGGAAAGGAGTGTTAGACAAAGAGAGTTATTGGCTGTTGCATCTTCTTCTACTACAAATAATTTAGAATGTCTAGAAGATTTGGAAGAAGAACAGATTTGGAATTCTGAATTCAGCTTGCCAAGCGTTCCCTGTCATGACAAAAAATCACAAAGAGGTAGAAAGAATCTTATAACACCTAAACTAGTCGCAGCTTTAGATCGATGCCAGTTAAGCATAAGAGACTCCGTTTACATTCTTCATGCGGTCGTAGAAGCTCTTGGTCTGAGCAGCGATGATTTCCCCATAAACAAATCCTCGATTCAGCGAATCAGAACTCAGACGAGAAAATCCAGGGCAGAAGCAATAAAAACTGACTTTCAGAACAATGTGCCTGACGTGGTCACAATCCATTGGGATGGAAAACTATTACCCGGATTGAATGTACGAAGTTCAAAAGTAGAACGTTTGCCAATTCTTGCTTCATTTGACGATAAAGAACAGCTTCTTGCAGTGCCTAAACTAGAGAGTTCTTCTGGAAAACATCAAGCTAAAGCTGTCGCAACTGCTCTTTTTGACTGGAATCTTCATAATAAAGTTCAAATAATGTGCTGTGACACAACAGCTTCGAATACTGGCCGTTTCAATGGAGCTTGTGCTGTTTTGGAGCAGACTTTAGAAAGGGAACTGTTGCTTTTCACTTGTCGTCATCATATTTATGAATTGGTTCTAAAATCTGTCTTCGAAACCAAGATAAAACAAATAACTAGTAGCCCAGATATTCCAATCTTCAAAAAATTCAGAGACAATTGGAATAACATCGATTCCAGCAACATTAAATTACCCCTTGATTACGTAAAAGAACATGTTGCCGAAACAAACATTACATCTTTGTTAATGTTTTATAAGTCAGAACTAGACAAAGATTTTATAAGAGACGATTATCGCGAATTAGTTGAACTATGCGTAGTATTTTTGGGAGGAGATATGGAGAAGAAATTAAAACTCAGGCCCCCCGGAGCTATGCATCAGGCGCGATGGATGGCGAGAGCGATCTATTCTTTAAAAATATGTTTACTTCAGTCACAATTAAAAATGACTGCGCAGGACAAAAAAGCCCTACAAGATGTTTGCCTATTTATCGTCACATTGTATGTTAAACCTTGGCTCAAATGCACAGTGGCAACTAAAGCACCTAACCAAGATTTGTGCTTCTTGAAGATGTTAAAAGAGTACGAAAAAGTTGACGCAACAATTTCTAAAGCTTCTATAAGCAAGTTTAGCCATCACTTGTGGTATTTGTCTGAAGAGGCAGTCATTCTATCACTTTTTGATGATGATGTTTGTAACCAAACCAAGATAAAAATGATTGCCAACTTAAACAGAAATAAAAGCTCAGATTTTGGCAAACGCTATGAAACATCAAAGGAAGAACTAACCCAAAAGTTGTTCGGTAAGCTATTTCTTTTTCTTTTTTTGCATTTCCTGTCTGTTTTTTTTTGTTATTTAACTTGTTTTTTTTTTTCAGATAAAACGCTAGATGATTTTGTGTCGGAAAAGAGCAAACAATTTTTTTCTCGACTGCAGATCAACGACAGTTTTCTAGGGGAAGATGTATCTTCTTGGAATAATAATGTTGCTTTTCTGGAAACTAAAAAAAGAATAAGTCGATTGAAGGTTGTAAATGACACTGCTGAAAGAGCTGTTAAATTAATGCAAGATTTTAACGGACTTATTACGGCCGAAGAAGAGCAAAAACAGTTCTTGCTGCGCTGTGTTCAGGAACATAGAAATTTGTATCCGGACTGTAAAAAAAGTACACTGAAGACAAGTTACCCCGGCTAAGTGTTATTATTTTATGTTTTTAAATAAAGATTTATGTTGTTCTTATTTCATTTTAATTCTTTTCCACTGAATTTGTTGCATTTATATTAGTTTTATAACAGACCGAAATATTAGGACAAAACACAATTTTTAATTAACTTTGTAGCTCGGTCGGCACGGGTTGCGATCATGCTAGAATGATGAAATTTCATATTTGAGTATATTTTTGCATTTATTAAAAATATAGGGGGTATGCATTTCGATTTAATAAAAATAAAAAAAATGCCATATAAGGGACACCCTAATATATATATACAAAATTAAAATATTTACCCATCCTATTATTAACCTTAACGCACTATGAGAAGAGTTCGAAATTTATAATTGACACGTGATGTGCCTATCGCCAAGAGTGTCACGACCGATTGATCTCTGTCGCGATTACGATGTCGTTTACAATCATGTACATCATTTGCGATTTGGACACACACCGTCGACTCGTGTCGTAAAACCGCCGTACGACCGATTCTGAGGTCCTCAATCAACCTAAAGAATTTCGTACGTTGACCCGCACTACATATCTCTCACTCCGGCGCATACATATCGCTGTTGCTCTCGTACAGATGCATCTAGCCAAATATGGCAGTGACTATTAGTCGGAAGAAAGGTCAACGTACATGAGCATTTATAATAATAAATGTGAAGCTTGTGAGGATGTCTGAACGAATACGGATAATTCTAAGACTGAATTAACATATAGGCGACTATTTATCTCACTAAACAGTCCCCTGGGGACCACGTGGACGAAGCAGCTCGCGGAAAACAAATAAACAATAGAAATTATGTTATTAATATGGTACAGGTGATGAGGAGTTCGAAGATGCGGAGGAGAGCGACGGCGCGGGGGCGGGGGCGGGGGCGGGGAACGAGGCCGCCGCGCGCATGCGGAACCTGCGGCTCGAGCACAACGGCTCACAACACTACCACGGTACCCACTACACTGTACACTCACTGTAGCCCGAGGTACCCACCCATCACACGTGCACTCTGTACTCACTCACTCACTGTAGGCCGAGGCACCCACCCATCACACGTGTGCACTCTGTACTCACTCACTGAATTTCGACTTCTAGGCGGACAATGGGCTATCTTCATAACACTAAACTTTACTCACTCATTGAATTTCGACTTGTAGGCTATCTTCACAGTACTTAACAAGGGGCCGTCCATTAATCAAGTGAGGCTCGAAAGGGGGGAGATGGATTCGTCAAAAATCACGAAATATCACAAGGGGGGTGGGGGGTGAGGTGTAGTAATATATCACGTATTTATTTTTCCTTGACGCACGATTATTAAACCGAAAAGCGACGTCAAAAATTAAGTTTTTATTTGTTTTTACTTAAATACACGTGATTTGGTTGAAGGAGGGAGGGGGGATATTCTTAAACCATACCGTGTATCACCAAGGGGGAAGGGGGGTCAAAAAATTTTGAAAAAACATCACGTGATTAACAGACGGACCCCAACCAGTTTTTTAGTCTCAAGTTATTTTTGATGCGCGTGATACACATTTCATTTTATTAAATTATGTTTTTTAAATGATGACTATCATATTGCAAATGATGTCTATTTGCTTTTTTGAATGAGTCCATTATCATTAAAAAAATTAGTATCTTAAAATAAAACTCTATTAAAACTACAATTGGTGAATGTTAACTAAATTCGTACTCTTGAAACGAATTTTGGATATATCATGATCTGTCCTACTTTCCGGCAATAAAAATATGTACTTAGAGGTAGGATAAACGACGAGACAACATATAATATATCATTTTACAGAGAACAGATAAATTGTTTAATCTTCCTTTAATTTAATCTCGCCACTTCAATAACGGCTTGTGATACATATCATCAACGGCTGTTCATTTACAGACGCCGAAGACGAAGAGATCGAGGAGCAGTGATATGATATGAACAGCAACGTCGTCGTATCGTCCGGCCGGATGGGTCGCCATGCTTGTGTTTAGCCAACGTGTCTGTCAGTGTTAGCTGTGAATTTAGAAATGAGATTTTTATTTCTCTTTAATTGTTTTGATTAAACCTACGATTTGTAAGAAAGAAATTCAAGGCTCACATTTTAGTTACAATCAGTACAGTACATATAATATAGAGTATTATTATTTTTTTATTTTTTTAAGTATAGACGGCAATCATTAATAAGTGTGCACAACACGATTTCACAGTGTTAATATCACAAAAAAAAATGACAACAAAAATTATTAAAACAAATTAAAAAATTGAAAAAGAAAAACTACTGTTGCTGTGAATGAAGTTAAGAAAATTTTGCATGTATAATAATTATTGGTTAAGTTAAATGTAACTATAGAAACTTTATTGTATGTACTTGATGAATAAATTAAAATTCATGATACACGGAGCGGTACAAGTGTGTTAAGCTAGTGTCAAAGCTTCTACTATTAAGCTTTGTCTACACTGGTGACTTTTTGTCACTTGACGTTTTGTCTCCTGAATCACTTGAGTGTAGAAATTAAATCGCCGTCTTTCATTCATTTCATTTTACATGTAGAAATTAATTTATTCACTTGACAGTGGCAGAATTGTGTGTAATGCGCAGATAATTATTTAGCTCTATGACTACACGTGACAGGGGCCTCGTATATTACTAGTCTGTGGTTGTGTCTGTCGCCCAACTAGACCCTGGCTAAATCATCAGAGTCATATAGAAGTTGAACTTTAACACAATTCGTTAGTATAGCAATAGTTTTCAGTAATACACAAACAATACAATTGCAGACACAATATAAGTCCTTGTGGCCTTTTGAGGATATCAATGTAGAAATAAAATTTTATTATAATTAGTATGTTACGAATTGAATTCATTATCGTGGGCGTAACTCGATAGATTCAAATGTGATCTTTTGTTGTTTTAAAATTATCTCATTTCTGATTTCACAGGAGACCTCGAATAATAGGTATGGACAATGTTCCAATGGAAGAAATCTCGAACATGTCAATTTGTGAAAAAGTAATCGGGTATTGTGAGAACAGTTTAAATATAACTGTAACGTTGTAGTATTTTGTAAATTCGTATAAACGTAATATTTTCAGAATATCATATATGAACATTCAATATGAATATTTAAACTTTTAAAGTTTGTATTTATTGAACGCACAAAACAAAAACTTAATTTTACAGAATTTAGATATCCATTTGGAATGATAACTTTGATTGATTTATTGAAAGAAATATCTGTCCTATATAACTTTCCTATATAATAAAACCCAATATATAAAGAAAACGCAATTTATTATTATTTATTGGGTATAAAGCTTGTTATTGTTAGTTGAAATTGTAATGGAAGTAGTACACTAATCAACAAGTAAATACTTCATAATTAACCTAGAACTTGGAAATACAGATCGAGTTATATTGATTCAAATGACTTATCAGAAAGTAATAAAAAGAACATTCCGTTATTGTGCACCCAAGGCATTTATAATAGTGTGGTAATTTGTAGGGTATATGCTCCAATGGATGACCTTTATATTAAATATTGTTTTCCATCAGTCTGGCATTGCCATAAAAAAGATCTTTATTTGAAAATAATATAATTAATGGATATTAATGTCATTCTAGTATATAAAAACGACTTATCAAACCCCGCCAAGTCTAACTGTGGCTGTGTACAAACAATTGATGATTATCAAAATATTTGTGTTCCTCAGCAGTGAAACAAATTTTAACCTCTGTAAACTCCAGTGGTAGTTTTTAAGTTAATCATCTTTTTTGTTCAGATTTGTTCAGGGTAACACAATTTATTAAAAAAATGTTCGTATGCGCTTTATAGAAATTAGTGGTCATTCACAGGAGCCCTTACCTTATATTCCAATTTTTGTTTTGTTTGCTAGCGTGTTGTGTGTTACCTATTTGTGTTTTCAGAAGTGGATGTTTTGTAGTATTATACCTTTTAATACACAAGGGCAGCTGCAACATGAAAATAACTTACTGTCGCTCAAAAACTTGTATCTGAATATTTGTACCCAGTTAAAATAGTTAATAAATTTTGAATGAAACATTTTTCATCGACTTTTATTTACATCGTACATTAATAGTAAATCTATGATTAACATACATTTAATATTCTTCTAAAAAAACATGTTTGTTGCAAAAGAAATAAAACACAAATTTTACACTACAATTTTATTAGGAAAACACAATACATTAGACTTCATCTTTATTTTAACAATCAAGAAATAATAGCGTGGCTTGAAAGAAATTGTACTTTTGTACTTCAATAGAATCATGCACGGAAACTTTTATATAAAATAATAATAAAAAAAAAATTCAACAAAAAGTCTGCATAAACTTACCGATCTCTTTTTAACTGCTAAAAATACTTAAGAAAACTATGCTCCCGAATATTTTATCTTTGCATACAACACTCAACACTTCCACTTAATAATTATTATTTATAGTTATCAATATGTTATTAACTAGCAACCTTGATCTAATTAAAAGGTTAAGACTACATAATGTAGTCAAGATATTTTTACATCATGTAACTTGTTACGCGCGTAATCTTCACAGAATTTCAAAATAAATATATATATATATATATATATATATATTTGCAATCTCATAAATGCAACAGGGCCGAAACAACGTGGATAATAAAAATAAAATGATATGAGTTATAATGATTTATATTGTAATATCAACAGTATGTCCTAAGAGTGGTTTATATAATTCAGAAACATGTTTTTCTCACGTTTTCTTAAACATTTTTAGAAATAAGATAAACACCAGATTGCACAGGGCAGAGTTTAAAAATATTCACAACATTTTATTTTTCTAATCATAACATTATTATACAATTATCAAGTGGCATTATACGATTCATTGCACATTTACAACTGTTTTACTCTTACTGTTGTCACAAATTATCGTCAAATAACTACTTAAATTATTATTACAATACATAGCAGTGTGTGGATTGAAAATATGTAATCCCACATGGAGTACTTCATACTGTCAATAAAATTATAAACTAAAACAAACGTCAAAAGATTACGTGCGAAAATCAAGATTACAACGATTATTCCGCTCCGCGTTGAAAGTCAAAACTTCGGAATTATGCTAACATTCAACTACAGTGGTCTCGGCTATTGTGTTCTTATGTTTATTTATTATATCGATTACGCTCTATGGAGGTACAGTTTCAACTTTAAACGCGAGCATTCCGTCAATGTATCCAATAATGAAACAACACACCGCTACACAACGAGTAGGCCGACATGTTCCGACGTCGACATACGCGGCGGTATTATAAATTATATCGAGTAGATATGAAACTGAACGACGCGTTTGCAACTGACATATTAAAATAATATTCTATATAATTATATAAATCGAATTTACTATAACATCTATTTATAATACATTATTATTATTATCATTATCTTTGTATTTTTTTTTTATAGTAATTACATAATTATTATGTATATTTAAATTTAGATGCAAGCATAAGAAACAGGAATATACCACAGGTACTATGAGTAGGTAGCACGAAGTATGTATCATGAAAAAATATATAGAGGTAACAGTTATAGTGAATGTCTCCTTAGTTGATGATTACATGAAATATTGTTTTTTTTTTATAGAAAAAATATTATTTGCGAAAACATAATAACATTGTTTTTATAAACTATATTTCCTCAAAATAATTGAAACATTCTTCAAAAAAATTACACACTTTTTTCTAAAATCTAGGCAATCGATTGCCTAGATTTTATAGAAAACTAGTTGTTATTCCGCAACTTCGCCTACGTTAATTATAGCATATGTCACCCGCGTATAATGTAGCTTCCCGTAGCTTAAAGTATTTTTGAAATAGGACCAGTAGCTTCAGCGCCTATTCAATGCAAACAAACAAACAATCAAATCTTTCATCTTAAAGATCAACATGTATAATTATTAATTTTGAGAGTTGAAATCTATTGGGTACATCACTATAACATTTACCCTAATATGTATTTTTGTACCTCATTATGTAACTCATTTCAATATACGTAAAGATATTTCAATAGATAATAATTCTACACTAGCGTAAACTTTACCGAAACATTGTTACATTGAATAATAATGTTTTACAGATGATAATTTAACTTCAGACAACGCCATCAGTCTCTCTTTACCGAGACATGCATACTAAAGGAAACAAAAGGAAACGGAAGGAGAAGGACGACTATAAAAAGACTATGCTTTCTTCCCACGCTAAACTACGCATGCGCGAATAGAGAGCGACAGATGGGTCGCAACGACTTTTCGTCTCTTTCTAGCCAAGGCTCTTGCTTATTTTACATTCATAATCTGTAAGACAAGTTTTATACATCGCTAAATTAGCGCAAAAAATGGTGACGAATATTAAAAAAAAAAAAAACTCGAGTAGTACAGATACGAAGATTAAAGTCAATCCGGATATCAAACCGTCAAACGGGAAGTTGGAAAAATAAATTCAGTTTCACATCTACAGTAAAATATTCAGATTTTACTTACACAATAAAGTAAATTACCATCACGCTGTAGTAGTCAACGGGGTGGGGTTCGGTAGGAGGCCCTCCACCTGCTTGGGTTCCACCAGTTCCGGTTCACCGTTCACCTCTGATTTCTCCTCGGCCATCTCCACATCGTTGGACTTGTCTTCGCTCTTAGTAGTCTCCTGTGACTTGGTGTCGCTGTCCGTTGTCTCCTGGCTGGATGTGTCCGTTGTCTCCGGTTTAGATTCCTCCTTGGGCTCTGTCTCCGGTTCGGTTTTCTCTGCTTCTGGCTCTGTCTCTGTCTCTTTTTGTTCTTCTGTGGTTGGTTCTTCCTTTTTCTCTGTCGCGTTATCTGTTGTATTGAATGATACATATAAAATTATTTATTTTTTTAATACAGTATTTTCTGTTAATTTGTTAAATGTAGATATTTTTAAGCAAGTAAGGCACTTTCTTTAATTTATACTTTTTGAGTGACATAGTAGGTTTTTTGTCCTTATCGCTCCGGTGTGACGTATAACGTGTGTTAGATTATGATGTCATAAGCAGCTACAAACCTCAAATCCTAATCCTGTATAATCTAAATTTAAATATTCAGTTCTCTATAAATTATTCCAATATTTTATTAGTTGTTCAGAAATAATCATGTCCACTTTCCAGTTTATTTAAAGGTCGCGTCTACTCATCATTAGTGATAATTTTAATTAGTTTTTGCTTAAAATATAATAATACCTTAGCATCTTTTCATCTGGAGGCCAGAGATATTCGTTATTTTGTTAATAATGTTTTAAGGTTATAACAGCTGTCAAAACTCGCGATAATTGTAAAGCTACTTAAAAATTAATGCATTAAAATCGAAGCTTTTTTAATTTTGCCGTATTACATGAAACGAAACGTAACATAACGTCGTTTTGGGTCCGAATCGCATTCGGGTAGTTGTCATAGTACTATTTGTAAATAATTATCGACCTCGCAATTTTCATTCTGACTTTATTTTAAGATTTAATCTCCTGATATGACATAAGTAAAAAATAACCTACATTTTGACATATGTCAATCACATCACTAGACGAGTTAGTAAATTTTTAGGTCAAATTGGACATGATATTTTCATCTACTGTCGCAATAACAACCAGTGCTATATACTCTATATACTCTCGACTTTCACAAGTGCTTGTAAAAGCCTAGACTGAATAAATAATTTAGATTTTGATTTTTATACTATACACCATTTTACAAGAGTATTAAAAAAATTACAAAATAAATTATTATCTCTTACCAGTTTCATCTACTTCCATGGGGGTTTCTTTCTTTTCGTCACCGTTTACCTTCTGCAATGATAATAATATCATATTAGCATCAACAATACTTTTAGACTCATACATATAATACAACCCAAAGCCAGATATCTACATTTCAATATCTATCAATTATACCAAAAACATTATAACTAACTAAACAAAGACGGCACGAACATGAACCATGACCATTATTACACTACTACTATTTTTAAATATATATTTAAATATATTCATTACCTAATTGATGATGCAAATTATTTGAACAGACCTCTTCTAAAACCATTAAGATACTTAATATAATAATCACTCGTGTTAATCTAAGATGGTACGTCTTCTATCATAAACAAACATCGCAAAGAAACATTCAACTTGATTCCTCGCCCATTATAGAACTTTACAATGACCAAAGGACCAGGTGGAAAAGTAACTCGGAGGCTGATACGTCATATCTTAAATATTTATACCTGATATGTGCAAATCTAAATGCAATTGTAAATGTCAAATAACTGCCACCATCTCATCTAGAATCAAGCAATATGTAAGTGGACAGTGGACAGTGGTAATTTTATACAGGGTTATTAGTTGAAACAATAACAGGCTCGTTAGACAGCTGACATTATAAATACAAACAACACTTGTTCTATGACTTTTGATATATATCGATTTCATACAACAAAAATAAATTTTAATTTATTTTCCGCTTGAATGTTAATAGCTCTATGTACAATATCGACATTATATTATCGCACGAGCGTAGCGGTGTCCTTTCGTTGATGAGTGGAACATAAGCATATGGTACGACAGTACAAAAAATAAAAGAAAAGAAAAATCGTTAACTCCTGACTCAAAAAGAGGGTATAATGTCCGTATTTTTTTAATTTCGATTAATCCTGGTGGTCATGCTTAGCTATGTTTAGTAAAAATCGTATTAGCATATTCTTAATGAAAAATAGCTTCAAATTATAAATATTTTATAATAATATTTAGAATACTTTTCAGTATAGCACCGTGAATGTAAAATTGAAACAACTAATAATAATATAATATTAATAAATATAATAATTAGAACAACTTTACATCTTTATCGAAAGTTTCAATATTTGTAAAAATATATCTTTAGGCTGTTTTTTGTTTATCATGTTATTATCTAGTCTCGTGAAGGTGCTGGTATTTTAAGGATAACCCTGTATATTTGAATGTGGTCATTTTGATGTTTTATTATTTAAAACGTCATGGTATCTATAATGGTATGAGAATCAAATTAACTGTACCCTTATCTATTGCAAATGTCATAATATTTATAACCAATAGTAATTACTACACAAACGAGTGTTAGACTTTTAGATTAAGAAATAATTTGCCAAGGTGTAGTTTCAATCAGTTTAACTAACCATTACCTATTCGGGTATACTTCCACATTCTAAACCACATCTTCTCCACTTCACTTATTTATAGTAAAATATTTAATATGTTTTGAAATCACTTTAAAACTCATTGATCTACTCAAAAACTATAGACAAGTGAAACGGCAGTGAATGACATTCAATTAAGAGCCATAAACATATTTGAAAATAAGAATGGGTTTTGTAGGGAAACTTTTATATGAAATGGAACCAAAATAGGGCAAAAATGACAATTGTTTACTATTGTATATATCAAATGTAAGTATAGGCTTTTTATAGTTCAAATAAAAACCTGAGATTCATTTGAAATAAGGAAACCCAAGTCTTAGAATATTATAAAAAGGAATGATATGGCAAATTCAATTAATGGCTTAATTTCTGTCAAAAGAAAACTAAAAACGACGGTCATATGATATGGCCATGATATGACTTATATATAAAATACGCCTCTGTATGTAAACTATGTTTATGGCAATTAATTGTTTAGTGTTACTATACTAAATGAATTTATAAACAAATAACTCAATGCGAGCGTGCCTTTTGTTTCATCAGGTCGCGTACTTGTTGGCGTCTATAATCTCGGCATTTTCCCCTATTTCGTACAAAATAAATACTAAAAGAACAATTTTATATACATTATTAAAGCAAAAACGACTATCTTTATTAATGAATTATAAATAAATATGACTTTTTGAAGGATCAGTTTCATATGTTATATATTCTATTGAGTTATACGAAATCCTCATATAAATTAATTTTTCACAGTGAGACTGACAGATTTATTAAGATTAAGGTGTCTTAAGTCAGTTAAGAAACCAACTTCCGAAATAATCAAGGTATTGAAAAAATATTGAAGTGATTATTGGCCGGTTTCTGAATTGGGAAAAGTATAAAATATCAACTGATGATTCTCAATAACTTAAGTTTTTAATTTTGCACATGGCAAAAGTCCTAGTTCTTATCAAACTACTATCCTATTCAAGTAATGTGTAAACACAGTTTGAGACGTGACTTTAAATAATGAATTCATAAACCGAGAGTAAATTATATTTGTAATATAACACTATAGAGCTAAACCGAACAGATATCTATACTAAAATTACAAAGAGGAAACTACTGGACAGCATTTAAAAATTCTCTCATCTAAGGGTAGCTACAGCATATGCAGGAACATAGGCTATATATATTTATGTCAATTTAAATTATAAAATATATACAAAAAAAAAAAAAAAAATAAAATAGTTTCAAATCACATTGAACAAAAAGTGAAATATAAATATATTTTTTTAATAAAAAGATGGCTTTTAATATTTTCTTGTTTGTTTTTTAGGTCTATTCTAGACAACTTTCTGTATCAAAAAAATATATTAGATAAATGATTCGCCCTTTAATTAATAATTTTATTTATTTTATAAATTATAACAAGTCCTAAAGTAGACAAAGAGTTTGTGTAGTGTTTTATAATCTAATCTCTGAACCCCGCTATAAAAGAGTGTGTATGTATGTGATGTCTGTACACCGACCTGTGGTTTCGCGTCGTTGGGGGCGTGCGGTTGTGCCGCGCTGGATGTGGACGACACTTCGTCCTCCTGTTCTTGCTTCTTCTGCCTTTTCGTGCCTCGTGGTTTTTTCTTTTCAGGCACCTGAACGATCGAACATACGCATATCAATATTTTTTTATTTAATTGCAATCAGAAAATTTACAAATTATTATTATAATTGACGTTACCTGTGGTTCTTCCTCGTCTTCTCTCGCTTCGTCGGTTTTCTGTTCGGCGGTTTCGGGCTCTGGTGCTGGGGATTCCTCCTTTTGTGATACCGGGTCATCCTATACAGAATAAATGAAACGATGATACATGCGGAGGAAATCGGGCATATATACACATAAGAAAGATTAATACACACGAAAAAAAAAATAATACTAATTTTATATACAGACATAAAAAGACATAAATCAAATAAGATCCACCGTAAGATAGGGTTTCGTGGGATCCCAAATCTATATTCCAATCCCGTTTTGCGGGATTACATGTGCGGGATCGGAGAGATTTGTGGGATTGGATACATGCACACTATCTATTGCTAATACGATCATTCGTAACTGACGGACAAATTGACGGAACCAAATAAAGTTATAATTACTCTTGTCAAAGTTCAGATGTAAATTTTACTGGTTTATATTTAAAATTTTGTTATTTTTTTAGTATTTATTTCAGTTTTCAGTAACAAATAAAACAAACTTAGAAGTTTTATTCGTGTACGACATGATTTTTATATTTATCATGTAAACTTTATAATACGTTAATTGACGCGTATGTATTTATTTTAAAATGTGTTACAATAAGTTCACATTATAAATATATATGAAATGAGATAGTTTTCTTTAATTATATTATTTGTATTTTGTTGATGCCGTGCATTGATAGATCACTATGTCAGTCATTCAGTTCAGAGTTATATATGTCGCATCATCTTTACGAAGATCGTTTGATTTAGTTTCTTTTATTTTAATTGCTAGTTACTCGATTGTAGAGAGAGCGTGATCATCGATACTTCTAATTTTATTAGAATGGTGACACTGACTTTGACAGTTCGTTAACAAAAAGCAAATTGCCGCCATTTTGACACGCATTCTGTTTCCGAACGCCGAGGAGTAAAAACATCCGACGACATCACGCTCATCTCGTTATATTTTCGTAAGAAAAGTGATAAAATGGAACAAATCCACGTCGGTATACACGCGTGCAGTGTTATTTTAAAGATAGTCCCTCGATATGGATCATCTATTTGGGCTTCGTAATAGCCCCTTCTGACATATACAACGTGTCCCAAAATTCAACGATAAGCGGGCGCCAAGAGGTAGACCTGCTCATGTGTACTTATGGAAAAATAAGAAAAAAATTATCCCATTAATCTTTTTTATTATAAAATAAAATTCGAAAATTTTCGATAGAGTTGTAGCGAATAGTAGTGCTACTTAGGTATCCGATACCAAAAAAAGATTGAACATAATTGAGAAGTCGTGGTCGTGGTAGTTGAAAATATCATAAAAGGTGTAAATTTTCGAAGATTTTCGAATTTAATTTTATAATAAAAAAGATAAGATATAATTTTTTTCTTATTTTTCCATAAGTACACATGAGCAGGTCTACCTCTCGGCGCCCGCTTATCGTTGAATTTTGGGACACGTTGTATATTCAGAAATATAAATATAAAACAGCAACGGTGAACAGATCGCGCACTGACCGTGAGCAGCACGGCGTGCTGCCCCCCGGCGGCCACGTGGCGGGCGGGGGGCGCGGGGGCGGGGGCGGGCTCCTCCGCGTCGCAGCTCGCGCCCGTGCCCAGCTGCCCCTCGCTGCCCATGCCCCACGCCAGCACCTCCCCTGAGGCAAGCGAGGATAAGCATGGTAAAAATTTCGACAAGCAGTTATTTCAATATTCCCATAACACTCACTCGAGAGGACATCATCTAAAGTTGACAAAGAGGGCGTCGCCTATAAATCCACATAAGCACTCTTTTAGTAACAGAGTGGTAGAAGCTTGGAACAGATTACCGACGGATGTAGTTTCAGCACAGACTACAGACCAATTTAAAAATAGATTTGACAAATTCATGCAACAGGAAGAATGAAATATCACGCAAAAAAGATATCGGGATACAGGCCACATCAGTTGTTGCAACTGTCTGCCTGTCTTTGATAATAAAAAAAAAATAATAGATGTGGCGTACCCGCCCACTCGAGGTATGAAAAAGATAGGAATGCAGCATGAAAGGAAAGATAGTAATTACAAAGGCCTGCTAAAAAGTGGGGTGAAATGTAGGGCTCGGCCAGGATTGTTGGCCAGGCAATTAAATAAGAAAAAAAAAAACAAGTTAGCATATTATGTAAGAGTGACTACAAGGTGGCAAGTCGGTAAATCGGAGTAGCTCGGTGGCGTAGTGGATAAGCGCCGCGGCTCGCGATCGTTGTCGTTAAGCAACTTTCGCAAGGGTCGGTCACGGGATGGGTGACCGAAAAATTATTATCTTCAGCTGCGGAAGGCACGTTAAGCCGTTGGCCCCGGCTGCATTCGTAGTCGTTAATACCCACCAATCCGCATTGAGCCAGCTTGGAAGATCATTGCCCATGCTCCTTAACCATCCCTAAACAAGACCAGAGCCCCTGCAGTGGGGACGAAATGATGATGAAGTCGGCAAAACGCCCCGGGCCCCCAGCTGAAAGGGGCTCTCGTTAAGGGGAGACTTCTTACTGCTGACATTTATTATTACACGATTAGTAAAAAACATAGAATGTCAGATGAATATTACGCCACTGTTGCTGCAATACATATGGTGTTAAATTAGATTAAGAATTCAATCTTATGCATACATAAAACGATTTTACTTTCAGAGAACCGGAACGTCAAAGGAGAATGGGCAGAAGTCGGCTAAAATTGCATTGCATTTATTTATCAAAAATTTTCTCTTTAATTATAATATATTCTATATAAATAATATATTAATTGACGCCTATGTCTTGTAACTGTAGTTTATTATTATGTAATTATAATGGTATTGTAACTAAATAAATATTGTAATGTAAACGCATATGGAATATCTTGTTACAAATGCTGTGCATGTCTGTAACTGTCATAAACGCTACATAAGTGTCATTTAAAAGGTTTACTGAATTATTTTTGTATTTGTGATGTTGACGTGCCTTGAGTAAATAAATAAATAAATACTATTTTAAAATTATGCGGTGTTTAAAATTTAGCCATCGATTGTCTGAAATACATTATTCATTTTATTGCTCTTATATACGTAGATATTATAACGTTATAACCTTAAAATCTCTAAATATTCAGATATTCACAAACTCCGGCATAATTTTAAAAAGGCTTTTTTCCTACTCATTCTAGAAATAATTTTGTATCGTTTACCATTGGTTTCAACAATGTGCACTGTGACGCGAAAATAACCGAACTCTTATAGTATATTGCCCATTCTCCTTTCGCCTTATACGAGTTATACTTTTTTAAATGTACTTCTTGTAAATCTATAAAATAAAAATATATAAAGTGTAACATTATTAAATGGCAGTCAAACACAAGTGGGCGAGTTCCCGCTAGAAGCCGCCCCCCACAGACCTGTATCGGTGACCGCGAAGGAGTTGCACGTGCCCGCGGCGATGCTCACGCAGCGGCGGCCGCGCAGCCGCGGCACCGCCTCCAGCGCCTCCGCGTCCGCGTTGCCGCCCAGGCCCAGTCTGTGTGCACATATTACACATCGCACATTACACATTATATCACACACACTCAACAAACATATATAACATTATGGTGTGACGAAAAATTCACTTCATCTAATAAGATCATATCTTTCTGCTAGAATACAAAAGGTAGTAATCAATGAAGCGAAATCTGCAGGGGCACCAGTTACTATGGGCGTACCTCAGGGATCGATATTAGGACCATTGCTTTTTCTAATTTATATAAATGATCTTCCTCACTTTACGAAGAATTTGTGCGAAACAGTATTATTTGCAGATGACACCTCTTTACTGTTTAAAGTTGAGAGGGGTAATGATTGTTTTGACGATGTAAATAATGCTCTCGACAACGTTCTACAGTGGTTTGATAATAATAATTTAAAGCTCAATTCAAATAAAACGAAATGCATAAAGTTTGCATTACCTAATGTGAGGCACGTCAGTACACTTATAAATGTAAATAGTGAAAAAGTTGAGTTAGTAGAATCGACAAAGTTCCTTGGTATTACACTAGATTCCCGACTGCAATGGGATCCTCATATTGATAACTTGTCAAGTAGACTGAGTTCTGCAGCTTTTGCTGTTAAGAAAATTAGACTCTTGACAAATGTTGAAACGGCAAGATTGGTATATTTTAGTTATTTTCATAGTGTAATGACGTATGGTATATTGTTATGGGGTTCTGCGGCTAGCATTCAGGATGTTTTTATTTTACAAAAGAGAGCTGTCCGTGCTATATATAATTTACGGTCTAGGGAATCTCTAAGAGAAATATTTAAAGAAATAAATATTCTGACTGTTGCCTCTCAATACATCTATGAGAATATTATGTATACAAGAAAACATTACGATTCCTTCACAAAAAAAAGTAGTGTTCATAATCTTAACACAAGAAATAAAGATAAACTTGCCGTTCCAAGCTTCAGACTTCAAAAAACCAGAGGATCATTTCTGGGTAAATGTATTGCTATGTTCAATAAAGTTCCACAAAATGTAATTGACCTACCCATAAATAAATTTCAAATTCATGTAAAGAATATACTTGTGAGTAAAGGCTATTATAAAGTTGATGATTATTTTAAGGATCGCAATGCATGGAATTAATAGCCTTCGCTTTGTTCTATAAAGACTAATTATATGTTCAACTTATGTCTTACAGACTTTGAAAGTTGTATTTACTATTGTGATAAATTGATAATACATATTATTTTGGTAATGACATGATTTATGTAAATGTCATTACTTATGATAAAGAGCTGATAAGTTTCTTTCGCTTGTTCTTCTTGTCAGCTAAAAGACGTCCTGAACAAGTGGTAGGGGAAAAAAGTTTTTTGGACGATTCAAAAGTGCTTGTAATAGCCTACTTGAATAAAGATATTTTCATTTCATTTCATTTCATTTCATTTCAACAAAGTATTAAATATGGTAACACAACTTTATTCACCCGCCTACCTACCTTTCCCTAACTCGGACAAATATAAAATAATCGAGGGTAGACAGACAGTCGCTGAGAACTGTCTGTTACATCTCCGCCGCTGTCTGTCAAATCTTAAAGCGCGAAAGTGTACACAGCAAATACTTAGAAAATCAACGCTGCGTGAAGGGGCAGTAGGTAAAGATTATTTTGACTTTGGTTAAAGCTAATTCACATTGGCATAACTATTAAGTATTAAAAAAAAAGAGTGTGGCGCCTCCAGAGCGGGTTTTTTTTTTAGTAATTCGACAAGGTCAAATAAAATTTCATCGATCCTGATAACATTTGCAGTGACCCAATTCACAGGCCAGGTCAACAACCCGATGATGGGGTCGTGACACCTCACCTTCCGTACTCGCACCGTCCGATGGCGTACACCTGCCCGCTGTCGTCCAGCGCGAGGGTGTGATGTTGCCCGCAGGCCACTCTGGTCCAGTTGTTGGTGGGTGTGAACGCCGTACACTCCACGGGGGAGAAAAGTGCCGTTTTACGCTTCTCGCCCGTTATACCTGTACCGAATGTTATATAATTAACACAAAAATACCTTTTATTGTAATATTCTACAACATTTTCTTCTTTCAATATAAGTCGGGCTAATAAGAAAAAATATTATTATTATCAAAGACAGGCAAACAGTTGCAACAACTGATGTGGCCTGTATCCCAATATCTTTTGTGCGAGATATTTCATTCTTCCTGTTTCATGAATTTTTCAAGTCCATTTTTAAATTAGGGGCTAATAAGAAAGAATTTTTTTGCAAAATATTTAAAATATCAAAGATAAAATGTTCAAAAACACAGAAATAAACAACTTGTCCCGGCTGTATTTGCAGGATGTTAATACCCTCCAATTCGCATTGGGCCTGCGTGACGCCTCGTGGCCTTCATCCATCTGGTCTTAACAAGGAAGAAGACGTTAACCCCTGGAGGGAGGAAGTAAAAGGCCTGTTGATGATGACGGTACCGTCGTAATTGGTAGGTCTGCTTCATGGTAGTGGGAACTTACTGTCTTCTTTATTGCAAAATCATCATGTATAATTTTTAGGATCCGTACCGAAAGGGCAAAACGGGAACTCTATAATTAAAACATCGTTGTCTGTTTTCCTGTCCCCAGGCCGTTATCTCATAAACCGTGAAAGTTCGACAGTTCAAATTTTCACAAATGATGTACTTATGTTGCCGCTTCATCAACAAATATCAAAAATTAGGATAAAATAAATATTTAAGGGCGTTCCCAAACCATAAATGCCGCTGCGTGTGGAGTGTAAGGGGCGGGGTGGGGGGAGGTGTGGGGCGGTGGTGCACTGACCGAGTTGGCCGTAGTTGTTGAGCCCCCAGGCGTAGACGCGGCGGGAGTGGGCGTGCAGCGCGAAGGTGGCGTGGTAGCGTGTGGGGAGTGTGAGGGGCGGGGTGGGGGTGGGGGGAGGTGTGGGGCGGTGGTGCACTGACCGAGTTGGCCGTAGTTGTTGAGCCCCCAGGCGTAGACGCGGCGGGTGTGGGCGTGCAGCGCGAAGGTGGCGTGGTAGCGTGTGGGGAGTGTGAGGGGCGGGGTGGGGGTGGGGGGAGGTGTGGGGCGGTGGTGCACTGACCGAGTTGGCCGTAGTTGTTGAGCCCCCAGGCGTAGACGCGGCGGGAGTGGGCGTGCAGCGCGAAGGTGGCGTGGTAGCGTGTGGGGAGTGTGAGGGGCGGGGTGGGGGTGGGGGGAGGTGTGGGGCGGTGGTGCACTGACCGAGTTGGCCGTAGTTGTTGAGCCCCCAGGCGTAGACGCGGCGGGAGTGGGCGTGCAGCGCGAAGGTGGCGTGGTAGCGTGTGGGGAGTGTGAGGGGCGGGGTGGGGGTGGGGGGAGGTGTGGGGCGGTGGTGCACTGACCGAGTTGGCCGTAGTTGTTGAGCCCCCAGGCGTAGACGCGGCGGGAGTGGGCGTGCAGCGCGAAGGTGGCGTGGTAGCGTGTGGGGAGTGTGAGGGGCGGGGTGGGGGTGGGGGGAGGTGTGGGGCGGTGGTGCACTGACCGAGTTGGCCGTAGTTGTTGAGCCCCCAGGCGTAGACGCGGCGGGAGTGGGCGTGCAGCGCGAAGGTGGCGTGGTAGCGTGTGGGGAGTGTGAGGGGCGGGGTGGGGGTGGGGGGAGGTGTGGGGCGGTGGTGCACTGACCGAGTTGGCCGTAGTTGTTGAGCCCCCAGGCGTAGACGCGGCGGGAGTGGGCGTGCAGCGCGAAGGTGGCGTGGTAGCGTGTGGGGAGTGTGAGGGGCGGGGTGGGGGTGGGGGGAGGTGTGGGGCGGTGGTGCACTGACCGAGTTGGCCGTAGTTGTTGAGCCCCCAGGCGTAGACGCGGCGGGAGTGGGCGTGCAGCGCGAAGGTGGCGTGGTAGCGTGTGGGGAGTGTGAGGGGCGGGGTGGGGGTGGGGGGAGGTGTGGGGCGGTGGTGCACTGACCGAGTTGGCCGTAGTTGTTGAGCCCCCAGGCGTAGACGCGGCGGGTGTGGGCGTGCAGCGCGAAGGTGGCGTGGTAGCGTGTGGGGAGTGTGAGGGGCGGGGTGGGGGTGGGGGGAGGTGTGGGGCGGTGGTGCACTGACCGAGTTGGCCGTAGTTGTTGAGCCCCCAGGCGTAGACGCGGCGGGAGTGGGCGTGCAGCGCGAAGGTGGCGTGGTAGCGTGTGGGGAGTGTGAGGGGCGGGGTGGGGGTGGGGGGAGGTGTGGGGCGGTGGTGCACTGACCGAGTTGGCCGTAGTTGTTGAGCCCCCAGGCGTAGACGCGGCGGGAGTGGGCGTGCAGCGCGAAGGTGGCGTGGTAGCGTGTGGGGAGTGTGAGGGGCGGGGTGGGGGTGGGGGGAGGTGTGGGGCGGTGGTGCACTGACCGAGTTGGCCGTAGTTGTTGAGCCCCCAGGCGTAGACGCGGCGGGAGTGGGCGTGCAGCGCGAAGGTGGCGTGGTAGCGTGTGGGGAGTGTGAGGGGCGGGGTGGGGGTGGGGGGAGGTGTGGGGCGGTGGTGCACTGACCGAGTTGGCCGTAGTTGTTGAGCCCCCAGGCGTAGACGCGGCGGGAGTGGGCGTGCAGCGCGAAGGTGGCGTGGTAGCGTGTGGGGAGTGTGAGGGGCGGGGTGGGGGTGGGGGGAGGTGTGGGGCGGTGGTGCACTGACCGAGTTGGCCGTAGTTGTTGAGCCCCCAGGCGTAGACGCGGCGGGAGTGGGCGTGCAGCGCGAAGGTGGCGTGGTAGCGTGTGGGGAGTGTGAGGGGCGGGGTGGGGGTGGGGGGAGGTGTGGGGCGGTGGTGCACTGACCGAGTTGGCCGTAGTTGTTGAGCCCCCAGGCGTAGACGCGGCGGGAGTGGGCGTGCAGCGCGAAGGTGGCGTGGTAGCGTGTGGGGAGTGTGAGGGGCGGGGTGGGGGTGGGGGGAGGTGTGGGGCGGTGGTGCACTGACCGAGTTGGCCGTAGTTGTTGAGCCCCCAGGCGTAGACGCGGCGGGAGTGGGCGTGCAGCGCGAAGGTGGCGTGGTAGCGTGTGGGGAGTGTGAGGGGCGGGGTGGGGGTGGGGGGAGGTGTGGGGCGGTGGTGCACTGACCGAGTTGGCCGTAGTTGTTGAGCCCCCAGGCGTAGACGCGGCGGGAGTGGGCGTGCAGCGCGAAGGTGGCGTGGTAGCGTGTGGGGAGTGTGAGGGGCGGGGTGGGGGTGGGGGGAGGTGTGGGGCGGTGGTGCACTGACCGAGTTGGCCGTAGTTGTTGAGCCCCCAGGCGTAGACGCGGCGGGAGTGGGCGTGCAGCGCGAAGGTGGCGTGGTAGCGTGTGGGGAGTGTGAGGGGCGGGGTGGGGGTGGGGGGAGGTGTGGGGCGGTGGTGCACTGACCGAGTTGGCCGTAGTTGTTGAGCCCCCAGGCGTAGACGCGGCGGGAGTGGGCGTGCAGCGCGAAGGTGGCGTGGTAGCGTGTGGGGAGTGTGAGGGGCGGGGTGGGGGTGGGGGGAGGTGTGGGGCGGTGGTGCACTGACCGAGTTGGCCGTAGTTGTTGAGCCCCCAGGCGTAGACGCGGCGGGAGTGGGCGTGCAGCGCGAAGGTGGCGTGGTAGCGTGTGGGGAGTGTGAGGGGCGGGGTGGGGGTGGGGGGAGGTGTGGGGCGGTGGTGCACTGACCGAGTTGGCCGTAGTTGTTGAGCCCCCAGGCGTAGACGCGGCGGGAGTGGGCGTGCAGCGCGAAGGTGGCGTGGTAGCGTGTGGGGAGTGTGAGGGGCGGGGTGGGGGTGGGGGGAGGTGTGGGGCGGTGGTGCACTGACCGAGTTGGCCGTAGTTGTTGAGCCCCCAGGCGTAGACGCGGCGGGAGTGGGCGTGCAGCGCGAAGGTGGCGTGGTAGCGTGTGGGGAGTGTGAGGGGCGGGGTGGGGGTGGGGGGAGGTGTGGGGCGGTGGTGCACTGACCGAGTTGGCCGTAGTTGTTGAGCCCCCAGGCGTAGACGCGGCGGGAGTGGGCGTGCAGCGCGAAGGTGGCGTGGTAGCGTGTGGGGAGTGTGAGGGGCGGGGTGGGGGTGGGGGGAGGTGTGGGGCGGTGGTGCACTGACCGAGTTGGCCGTAGTTGTTGAGCCCCCAGGCGTAGACGCGGCGGGAGTGGGCGTGCAGCGCGAAGGTGGCGTGGTAGCGTGTGGGGAGTGTGAGGGGCGGGGTGGGGGTGGGGGGAGGTGTGGGGCGGTGGTGCACTGACCGAGTTGGCCGTAGTTGTTGAGCCCCCAGGCGTAGACGCGGCGGGAGTGGGCGTGCAGCGCGAAGGTGGCGTGGTAGCGTGTGGGGAGTGTGAGGGGCGGGGTGGGGGTGGGGGGAGGTGTGGGGCGGTGGTGCACTGACCGAGTTGGCCGTAGTTGTTGAGCCCCCAGGCGTAGACGCGGCGGGAGTGGGCGTGCAGCGCGAAGGTGGCGTGGTAGCGTGTGGGGAGTGTGAGGGGCGGGGTGGGGGTGGGGGGAGGTGTGGGGCGGTGGTGCACTGACCGAGTTGGCCGTAGTTGTTGAGCCCCCAGGCGTAGACGCGGCGGGAGTGGGCGTGCAGCGCGAAGGTGGCGTGGTAGCGTGTGGGGAGTGTGAGGGGCGGGGTGGGGGTGGGGGGAGGTGTGGGGCGGTGGTGCACTGACCGAGTTGGCCGTAGTTGTTGAGCCCCCAGGCGTAGACGCGGCGGGAGTGGGCGTGCAGCGCGAAGGTGGCGTGGTAGCGTGTGGGGAGTGTGAGGGGCGGGGTGGGGGTGGGGGGAGGTGTGGGGCGGTGGTGCACTGACCGAGTTGGCCGTAGTTGTTGAGCCCCCAGGCGTAGACGCGGCGGGAGTGGGCGTGCAGCGCGAAGGTGGCGTGGTAGCGTGTGGGGAGTGTGAGGGGCGGGGTGGGGGTGGGGGGAGGTGTGGGGCGGTGGTGCACTGACCGAGTTGGCCGTAGTTGTTGAGCCCCCAGGCGTAGACGCGGCGGGAGTGGGCGTGCAGCGCGAAGGTGGCGTGGTAGCGTGTGGGGAGTGTGAGGGGCGGGGTGGGGGTGGGGGGAGGTGTGGGGCGGTGGTGCACTGACCGAGTTGGCCGTAGTTGTTGAGCCCCCAGGCGTAGACGCGGCGGGAGTGGGCGTGCAGCGCGAAGGTGGCGTGGTAGCGTGTGGGGAGTGTGAGGGGCGGGGTGGGGGTGGGGGGAGGTGTGGGGCGGTGGTGCACTGACCGAGTTGGCCGTAGTTGTTGAGCCCCCAGGCGTAGACGCGGCGGGAGTGGGCGTGCAGCGCGAAGGTGGCGTGGTAGCGTGTGGGGAGTGTGAGGGGCGGGGTGGGGGTGGGGGGAGGTGTGGGGCGGTGGTGCACTGACCGAGTTGGCCGTAGTTGTTGAGCCCCCAGGCGTAGACGCGGCGGGAGTGGGCGTGCAGCGCGAAGGTGGCGTGGTAGCGTGTGGGGAGTGTGAGGGGCGGGGTGGGGGTGGGGGGAGGTGTGGGGCGGTGGTGCACTGACCGAGTTGGCCGTAGTTGTTGAGCCCCCAGGCGTAGACGCGGCGGGAGTGGGCGTGCAGCGCGAAGGTGGCGTGGTAGCGTGTGGGGAGTGTGAGGGGCGGGGTGGGGGTGGGGGGAGGTGTGGGGCGGTGGTGCACTGACCGAGTTGGCCGTAGTTGTTGAGCCCCCAGGCGTAGACGCGGCGGGAGTGGGCGTGCAGCGCGAAGGTGGCGTGGTAGCGTGTGGGGAGTGTGAGGGGCGGGGTGGGGGTGGGGGGAGGTGTGGGGCGGTGGTGCACTGACCGAGTTGGCCGTAGTTGTTGAGCCCCCAGGCGTAGACGCGGCGGGAGTGGGCGTGCAGCGCGAAGGTGGCGTGGTAGCGTGTGGGGAGTGTGAGGGGCGGGGTGGGGGTGGGGGGAGGTGTGGGGCGGTGGTGCACTGACCGAGTTGGCCGTAGTTGTTGAGCCCCCAGGCGTAGACGCGGCGGGTGTGGGCGTGCAGCGCGAAGGTGGCGTGGTAGCGTGTGGGGAGTGTGAGGGGCGGGGTGGGGGTGGGGGGAGGTGTGGGGCGGTGGTGCACTGACCGAGTTGGCCGTAGTTGTTGAGCCCCCAGGCGTAGACGCGGCGGGTGTGGGCGTGCAGCGCGAAGGTGGCGTGGTAGCGTGTGGGGAGTGTGAGGGGCGGGGTGGGGGCGGGGGGAGGTGTGGGGCGGTGGTGCACTGACCGAGTTGGCCGTAGTTGTTGAGCCCCCAGGCGTAGACGCGGCGGGTGTGGGCGTGCAGCGCGAAGGTGGCGTGGTAGCGTGTGGGGAGTGTGAGGGGCGGGGTGGGGGTGGGGGGAGGTGTGGGGCGGTGGTGCACTGACCGAGTTGGCCGTAGTTGTTGAGCCCCCAGGCGTAGACGCGGCGGGTGTGGGCGTGCAGCGCGAAGGTGGCGTGGTAGCGTGTGGGGAGTGTGAGGGGCGGGGTGGGGGCGGGGGGAGGTGTGGGGCGGTGGTGCACTGACCGAGTTGGCCGTAGTTGTTGAGCCCCCAGGCGTAGACGCGGCGGGTGTGGGCGTGCAGCGCGAAGGTGGCGTGGTAGCCGGCCCACACGCGGCACGCGCCGCCCTTCAGCGTCACCTTGCCCGGCGTCAGCAGCGCGCCTGCACATCACCACATCGTTACTGGCTACTATTAACGCGACACCCGACAGCTTATTCTGTTCGAATCGCTCTTATAGTTTTATAAAAATCATATGCGTAAAGATTATCTGTGCATGGCAGGCAGAGGCGATTGCGTTATAAATCGGGGTTTGTAATTATAAAGACAATAGTTTTTTTTCGGATTATCGTCCGATAAATATTTGATCATTATTCATAGTTAAATGAACTTTTAATTATGTCGTTTTTAAATTATAAAAAATATACAAAAAAATTAATAACTGTCAAATCACATTGAACAAAAAGTATGAAAATTTAATAAAAATATTGTTTATAATTAAAAAAGGGCCTTTCAATATCTTTTTATGTCGTCCATTCTAGACAATTTTTTCTATCAGTAAAACCATATTTTATTTAAAGATGATTTCCCCCTTTAATCACAAATACAGAAAGAGTTTGTGTAGTGTTTATTTATTATCAAGGTTAACTATCACTTGGTAGCCTATTATAAATTATAAAAAATGCGTTTCTTTGGAGCCACCTTTAGCTACCTATAGCCATAGTTGTTGCCTTTACTGGTTTCCTTCCATTACCAGGCAACCAAATATTGGAATAATATACCTCCTTCAATACGGCAGATTTCAACGCGGAACTCAACACACATTTTAAGAATCTGTTATTGGATTCCCAACATTGAGGTATTAAGTAAGGTGTCGTCGAGGTGACGGTTGGCCTTTGCTTTTCTTCATTTTGTTTTTGGTTTTGTGTGTGCATGACAAGATTTAATATAATAATTTTATTTAAAATTTTAACATTTACCTTAATGTTTATAATCAATTTTAATACTAAACAAACATAATTTAATTTATTATTATGTCAAATATTATTATTTAATTTATAATGCAATTCATTTTTAGTCTATTATTTTATAATCCAATTCACATTTTATTCCAAGTTTTATTATCTTATGTAATTTATTGATATAGTTGAAATAGTATATATCATCATCATTTAATTTTGAACTCTGATGAATAGTATATCGCACACCTAGATCTAAACTGAGACAACTCAAAAATTTGAGCGAGTTTTGACTTAGTACAATATTCAAATACTCTGTGATCATACGCATCTATCCAACCTAACAGATTCAATAAAGGTTCGGGGATGAGCCACTAGATAACTTTAGCTTTTTTTTGTTGAATCAACAGTGGTCGCGCTCCTGCCACGTAAACAAATGTATTGTCAAACCTCCATATTAGTTTTTTGAGTTGTCTTAGTTTAGATTTAGGTGTGCGATATATTAAATTGCGTCACCGCTAATTCAATTCTTTAGGTTAAAGCTGAAAATCAGTAGTTTGTTCTAGAAGCAAACATATTACTGAGCTTTTGCCTTTTTGCATCGTTCCAGCACACATGTAGACTTGTGTATGTCTATTAATTATTTTTTCTTTAATATTTAATCTCTGTATTCATTCAACTTTTATAATTGCTGGCATGTGTGTGTGTGATATATGTAAATAAAATTATTATTCATTCATTCAAATAGAATAGGCCTTCAGGTATCATATTTATTCATTTGAATAGGAAATAGATATCACTGTTGATAGCTTTTTAGTTCCAAACAAATGTGAGTGAAATGAAAAAGGTAGCGAGCCCAAACTGCCATACGACATATTTGATCAAGCATGTATTTATTTTAATTCTACCAAAATGTCTTTACAATAACCAAACGTGACATAGACTATATAAAAAATTGATTTGAGTTATCATTCATCATAAATCAACTTACTGAATCCCTGACGGGCATCTCTGGAGGCGGAACGTTGAGATAATCGTCCCAGCTGTCCCTGCTCGCCACAACCCATGGTATACACGGAACCTGACGTCTGTGCATAGATAACAAGTTACATACATTAGAAAAAGGACTTTTCTTCCCTATAAGTCGCATCTAAAATTGACTAGTGAGCAACTTAATTTCTTGGCTGAATGGATTAAACGAAACTAAGTAATTATCATAATATATTGTTTAAAATTCAAGACGGGCAAGGTGACAGTATCATTTTAATCTAGAACAGTGATTCCCTAAGCGCTCCAGGTGGACCCCCAGTGGTCCATGAGGGATTCAACGGGGATATACATTAGAAATAAATCTAATTTCCATCGTTAGATCATCACATTTTGGACGAATTTTGGGAATATTGTAAAAATTTACCATCGACACCAGTAAATTTTTTAAAATGGTCTACGAGAAAACATTATTTGGGAACCTCTGATCTAGAAAATAACTGTGGTGATATAATGCAATGTCAAGTTACACATAGTATGACGAGGTGGTCCCCCCCGGAGGCGATGGCGTGCGCGGGCTCCCCCACGTCGATGGGCGCGGGCTCGCGGCACGCCTTGCCCTCGCGCCCGCGCACCACCAGGCCCATGCTGCCGTGAGAGTCCTGCCATTATAGTTATACACATATATATATATATTACAAAATCAAAATTTATAATATTGGTGATACTCTTTACAATAAGATTGAAAAATGACTTCATTAAAATATGAAGTAATATTAATTACATACTAAAATATTTGTATGGAATGCACTAGTATGCAAATAATTCACGTTCTATAAATGTGTTTCCTTAGCAGTACCAGTTATCACGTATCCTGATATCCCCTCTTAGATTTAAGTAGTATATAAGGCCTGTTAGATATAATTTAATTCCTCTTTTTGGGTTGTGTAATTATGTTATTTTATATTTTATACCAAAAAACGCTTAATAGGTGTAGATAATAAAAACATTTTTTTTTTGTGTAGAGTTGAATAGTGTATTACCGATAATGTTATGTTTATTTATAATATCGCTTAATTAATTATGAGAAAACAAATACTTCATACTTGTTGTTATGGGTCCGTAAACGGTGCGCGACGTCAAGCCTCTCATGATCATCATATCAGAACTACATACGAGGCGTGACCTCATAGCGATGCCATGACTGACATGAAAACTAAATTTATTTTTATGTTTTACTTATGATATGAATGATACCTTTTTTTTTTATTTATTTCATGTTTATTTTGTTTCCTCTTCCGCTGTGGAGGGAGAGGAAATCTCAATCAGGAGAGCTCGTTCTCTCAACTCCACCAGCGATCAGATCTTCTTAATTTAATACATTAACTATCGTCATAGAACCGTCGCCTATTTTTATTAAACTTAAGTGTATTATTGCGAGTGCAACAAACGGTCAGTTGCACAATCGTCCATTAAGATTAGTATGGATAATGTAGTTTTAAACGAATGAAAATTTGAACGGCCGTTTGTGCAAGTCCCTGTGAGGCAGAGGCAGTTACCCGGAAGGCCCCCCAGGCGTAGACGCGGCCGTCGTGCAGCAGCGCGGCGGAGTGCGAGTCCCCCGCGGAGACGGCCACGGCGCGCCCCGGCAGGGCCACCGCGCGCGGGGCGCCCTCCTCGCTGTCCGCGGCCGTGGGCCGGCCCAGCGCGCCCTCGTCGTTGCACCCGAACGTCCACACCTGTGCATGGATCGTTATTATCAACGTCCGCAGTTGCTAGCGACGATTTACTTTATTGGAAACCTCCCTTTTCTTTACTAGAAATATTTATCAAAACAATTATCACTCTGACACATCATCGTATGCCTATTAATGTCCTCCTGCTGGGGCTCAGATTTTCCCTAGGGGCGGTCCATTAATCACGTGATGTTTTTTTCAACATTTTTTGACGCCCAAGGGGGAGCCTTGGTGATACATGGTAAGGTTTAAAAATACCCCTTACCCCCTTCAATCAAATCACGTGTATTAAAAAAAAAAAACAAAAAAAATCGTAATTTTTGACGTCCCTTTTCGGTTTATTAAATGCGCGTCAATATATTACTACCCCCCTCCCCCCCTTGTGATATTTCGTGATTTTTGACGAATCCCCCCTTTCGAACCTCACTTGATTAATGGACGCCCCCTATGTATGAAATCGAATAGAGAAAATGAGCCCTAACATACCGCGCAAGCCCAGTGGATATTTATGTCCTCCAGATGCAGCCAGCACATAAGGCTTAATGTAACTTTCAAAACAAGGACGAGATCAAGTTATTAAACTTTCGGTCACCCGATCTATGACCGGCCATTATAAAAGTTGCTTAACAGCCATATTGCAACCGAGCATGCTAGCCCCTGTGCCATTGAGCTCAAGGAACACACCCGTTCACATTGAAAAACTATTGCAAAAACGCGACCCTGCTTCTGGAGCGAACAGGTAGAAAGCAGTTCTCGAAGTCAAAATGGTTCACCTCTTATTTTAGTTGTATTCTTTTTAATAGCAAGTTTTCAAATTTTCTTAAAGAACTATTCATCACTACCTCCTAGTTCTGTTTGTATTCATTAATATAAAAACAAGCCCCAACCTCTTCTCTGTAGTTATTACATCAGTACTAGTACCGGCCAGAACTTTTTCAACCAGAAAAAGGTTAATAATTATGTTCTTTAGTAGCAATGTCCGAACCTTGCCATCGCAGTCCAGTGCAATGGTGTGCATACCACCAGCACAGCAGTCTACCACTTTGTCCCCGAGAGCGGTGACTTGTTTAAATCTGAAACAGACATTCTGATGAGCTAAAAGAAGTTTACTATGATAATAATCTTTATTGACTATAAGAATAACAGATTTCATACCGATGATACTTATAAATTTTTACTTAAATCTAATATTATTTATTCATTGCAGAACTATCATCAGACAATACACATATATAAAGTAAGTAAAGTATGATGTCCTGTTGGTGTGTAATATAATATGATTGTGAGTGGGTATCTAGTTTATTTAATAGGTGTGTTTAGTTAATTAACACATATTTCCAATAAGTTTTTGTTTAACAGTACTATTGATGCCGACTACAAATAAATTATAATAAATATAATTCTATTTCAGTACAGTAGAACTTGCAAAGAAGTTCATACTCAAATGTGGGAATAATTTTAGTCCATCAGAGTGTTCTTTCTGTGTTTGCATGCAAATACTGATTTGATGCATGTCGCTATGTTCGATATCCGTGACATAGTAGTTATCGGTAGTGCAATAGTTCTTTACAATCATAGAAACAAGTCAATTTAAAAACCACTTCAAATGAGCACAATAAAGTGTCCAGATTTGAAGGTGATCAAAGTGATCAGTATCAATTCAATTTATACAGGACATACAGACAATCAGTAACCTGTCATTTGTTCTATGATAGCAATTAGTCATATTTTTTATATTTACTTGTTAGTCTCAATGACATCCTCGCCAAGTCCCAACTGGCCCACATCGCCTTGTCCACATGTGAATACACGCCCCCTCTTCTTGGGTGCAGTTGGGATTTCCAACTGGGTTACTAGAGGAAAAAATGTAATATTTATTTATGACATTTTAGAGTTAATAACCAACCCAATATGTCATGTATATTAACTTAAAAGTTGAAATTGTATTAAGTTAAAGGCCACTTGATAGGTGAGAAATTTAAAAATCACACAACTTTTAAAAATGGTAAATATGTTAACAACAAATAACAAGCATGACCTAAGCACTACAAACTAGACTAATTATCAGATAGCCTGATTTTTATCAATACTATATATTAATGAGATTCTTATCATAATCAACTTTTCTGTTTGGACAACACAGCATATTAAATACTTTTTTTTTTATTGGAATATTGTTGCATAAGGTTAAATAATGAGAAGGTATTCCCTTCTCATTATTTAACCTTATGCAACAAATTATAATATAACAACATCAGACTCTGATGTGGTTATATTATAATTTAAAGAAACCTATAATTTGTTTGCAATTAATAATATACCCATGGTTTTTTTTTTTTGGATACTATTTAGAAACTGATAAATACAGCACTTATCAATAATAGTTTGGAAAATAACATGAATATTATTATTTAGAATATTAATGAGAAAATAAATTTCCAAAATATTTGTATGTACATTAGTACCAAGTGCTATTTGATAGAATAGAAATTTCAAAAACAGTTTCATAATATTAAATGTTAATAAAACCAAGAAACTAATAACCTCAAAAATGAAATCTAATTGCTTAAGCTTATATAATTATGAGGTTTAGATGTACTTCTAATAATGACAGGAGTACTGTAAATTTCTCTTTGGAGACCTAATATATAGTACAAATATTCATAAAACATTAGTTATTCTATGTTGATAAATCGTTTAGCAATAAAATGTTCTGCGCGTCCTTTTTCCCGCCATCATGGTTTGACAGGTCATTGACGTCGCACAAAAATGTAAAGAAAACAACTGAGGAATGAACATTTTGTGTACTCACCTCCGCGTTTTTTCTTATTTTTAGGAGCCGCTGTAGAAGTTGTGGCAGCCGATGATTTGGATGCTGTCCGTTTAACGCCCCTTGCCGCCGGCATTATGCCTGCAATATTGCAACAGACGCGTCAATAAACACTGTTCCGAGCGCGGCAAACTATCTCCTGACCGATGGCTTCGCACTGATGACGTTTTCACTACTTTTTATAATCGCGTTAGCGTTGTATTTCCACATCGACTGCATCAGCATCAATTACAAGGCTATGGCCTCATAGATTTATGCAAAGCGCGCAGATAGGTTATATTATGCATTTCTATAGCACTACCACAAAGATACAAACAACGCACTACCACGAACGGGACGCTGTCATACGGTAACTTAGATATTTACTTACTGTTTTAGTATTGTTTTTTAATCACGAATAAAAACAGAATATTGGTTTATACTGAGAGATGACGTATTTTAATTCAACAATGTATGAAACCCGCACATCTCCCTTCGCTTCGCTTGGCCAACGAACGAGTGAAGTGCCAGTTCATAACAATAGTATCAATAGAACGAATCGATTAAGTGAATATTTTATTCGATTCGTCAAAATAATGGTTATTCAATTTATTTAAAGTTGTATTAATTGATATATTATTATATAAATAAATTCGTGTTTTAATATCTTCTGTTAAAATTTAATCAATTTTTTAACGAAAATACTGTGGTAGGTATATATTACGAGCTCTTTGAACAAAAAGAGTTTGTGTATCTGTGACATCACTATGTCAATAGACAAGGTAGATTTTGATGAAGTGTTGTCTCTGTGGTTGTCTCCCGATAGATTTTTTCATATTTATATATTGTAAGGGTAAATAAAAATTTGCTCATATTGATGGAAAACTCTATTTTGTAAAGTTTATTATAAAAGAGAAAATTTACCTATTACATATCACTTAGTTCAAAGTTTTTGTTTCACATATTATTTGATGTTTAATTCATACTAGTTTAATTTTGTCGTACGGTTTACTTAAAAATAAGGATTTATATTTGTGTGATTTGTAATAATTTATACATCTGATTTGAATCAGATGTATTAAACTGGCATTTAGTAGGTTGCTGTTGTGGGTTGAGTAATTCATAATTTATGATCAGTTCACATTTCACTTTTTAATTTACTTATTTATCTTTAGAAAATTAAACGATTATTAGAAAAAAAAAGTATAACTATAATTCAGCGAATATATCGTTGTCAGTTCAATCTATCATACAAAATATAGAAAAATATATATCAGAGTATAATACTTATTTTCGTATTTGAATTATTTCAGATCTTTTAATTTTTGTATGTAATTGTAATAAGTCTTATTTTATACTCAAAACCAATGAGGAAGTATTTAAAAAAACCATTAGTTTCCGAAATCAAATTAGATGTCGCTACGGTACGTTCTTGATTTCTGCATGACAATCCTTCGGGCGCTTGTGCACTACACTGAATTTTCAGATCCAGTGGTCCAATATGTCAGGCCATATGTATGTAGGTAATGCTGGCGTGTGCACTGTCAGGAATTTTACTTTTTCTATTCCGGAACGTTTTTTTCAGATCCGTGATGGCGGCAATGAAAAACGTGTTTACGCTAGTGCACTGCTGTGTCTGCGATCCGGAAAATTCATAAGCCTGCGGAGTAGCTTGGGAAAAAATAATCGATTTATGAAAAATCGATATTTATTCTATATTATAAAATGCGATATTTTATATAATGATTCAATAAAGTGGGTAAATATCACAGGATATGCCTTGACAAACTGGATATAGTTCTAATTTGATCATCGTGTGGTTCTAGTATTGATACTTTGCTAGATTCTAGAGAAAAAAAATTATTAGTCGTCGAAATAGCTTTTCGATAGTAGACTATTTTTGGGAGCAAACACTTGTTGTAAAATCGTATCAATTTGGGTAATTTCATTATATAATGTCCAGATTCCATGTTCCATACAAATCGCAATGATATACAGTTATATAACGTAAAAGTGGAAATTTCCGATATATTGATAATCGATATTTATTGTACAGTGGGTATATAATTCGATATTTTGGATGATGATTTAACATCCTTGGTAAATATCACTGCATATGCCTTAACAAACTCGATTAGTTCTAATTTGATAATCGTATGGTTATAGTATCGATGCTTTGCTAGGTTCTAGAATCATATTAAAAAATTTACTTTTAAACATGAAAGAAAATCGGAAGGTTCTACGGAAATGTTATGAGTACATTGCGGTTAAAATGAGAACATTTGAAACAAAGTAGTTCTTGTAATAAAACTAGATGTCGCTCGCTACGGCGCGAGAATTTGATAATTTTCAGTGAGTTTTTTCATCAATGTTCAGGCAATCCACCGAAACAGCCGAAAAAATATTTCTACAGATATTTTAAACTTTCGATTAAGACGAAAATTTGTTCTAATTATTACATTTGATCAATTTTGCTTTCACAATGCTTTACTGGAAAATATTCTTAATGATAATGCTCTGTATTAGAGAAAAAGTAACAACTGCTTGGAAAATTCGTCAGTCCTGTTAGGCCGTGGGTAGCTCAATGATTAGAGCAGTCGCCCGCATTGCGAAAGGTCATGGGTCGAATCCAATCTCAGAGTACTAGGGACAAAATGGGATTTTATTAAGCATTTAACATTAAGATTATTTTTAGTATAACATTATAAATGCAAAATTGATCAAATATAAGAATCAATTAAAGGATTTGACAGACTTGTTGTACCTATGCTTACAATACGACATTTATTTCCTAAAAATAATTAACAGAAATCAATTCAATTATCAAACAATTATCATTATAGTTAATTAAACTCCTTCAGTGCTATTAATAAACAAGGATTAGCCTCAGAGTAAATTTACGCTAAAATTGCAATTTTAGTATTAGTTCAAATTCATATTATACGAAGAATAAGCAAAAACCTACTTCCTTTTAAGAGAAAATATTACTCCCGTAGTACCTCGTACTAGGTTAACATTTACAAAGTCTCTGTTTAATAATATGAATTTTGATCAATACTGAATGCAGTCTCAGCGTAAATTAACTCCAACGCTAAACCTTGTTTATTAATAGGACTGCTTGAGTCTAACACCAAAATTACTTTTGTAAAATATCGAAGAAATGAAATACCTACCTAAAGTACAAGTACACTTATTTCCTGATTCAGTTTAAAAACGGAGCTTATAGGTACGTCCGGTTTCTGAATTGAGAAAAGTACAAAATCTCAACTGATTATTCCCAATAGTTTAAGTTTTTTTTTACGTTTCATAAGTCAAAAAGTTCTAGTCATCATCATCATCATCAGCCCTTTTACGTCCCCACTGCAGGGGCTCAGGCCTTCCTTATGGATGGTTAAGGAGGATGGGCCATTACCCTCCACGCTGGCTCAATGCGGATTGGAGGGTATTAACGACTGCAAATGCAGCCGGGACCAACGGCTTAACGTGCCTTCCGAAGCACGGAGTAGCTCGAGATAATAATTTTTGGTCACCCATCCCGTGACCGATCCTTGCGAAAGTTGCTTAACGACAACGATCGCGGGCCGCGGCGCCCATCCACTACGCCACCGAGTACCTATTATTATTCAGCTATATCAACTTATTTAAGTGACATTTAAGTGCAGTTTGTGACATTCTTAACTTTAAATTCTGGTGTGTGTACTATTTGTTAGGGCTGAACATTTTATGAATTTTATGTAATTTCAAACAACGAAGGTAACACATCACCCAGATCCGAGACATTATAGAATTTCCTATATTGACCCGACCGGGAATCGCGCCCTGGACCTCAGAGATGAAACCTTGAAATCGGCGTGTGAACCACTAGCGCCCACACGCAAATGTTTGGAAAATACAGGTGTTTTTCCGTCCAATAGGGTATGTTAATTATGTCTTCGTGCACAGACACAATATAAATGTAAATTTTTAAAATTACATTAGTTTCTGTGCAATTTCGGTGCTGGCCTGTGACAGGGTTAGTGTCTAAACGCTCCGCAATGGTATCTTCGTTTTAATAATGGAGCAATTTTGATATTTTTAGGGTTCCGTACCGAAAAGGTAAAACGGGCACCATATTACTAAGATTTCGTTGTCTGTGTGACACTGGATGTCATGATCATGAACCGTGAAAGTAAGACAGTAGAAAATTTCACAGATGATGTAGTTCTGTTGCCGCTTCAATAACAAATACTAAAAACCAGAATAAAATAAACATTTAAGGGGGCTCCCGTACAATAAACGTCATTTTTTACTCGTTTGCGGTAAAGTACTTTCTCTACTTTCTTTTATGATTCACGATGTTTTGGTATTTTAGTAAGCCTGAAAATGAGTAAGTTCAGATGTCGTTCATATACAGTTAAGTGGTAATTGGTAATCAAAAAACTAAAACAGACCCCAGAGAAATTTCAAAACAGATATATTTTTTATCCTAGGAAGTTGGTTAAGAAAGTCAATAAGTGTTTTTTGAGTCAGGTGGAACTTTAGGTGAATTTCATAGCCCAAACAAACTTGATGTTTCAAAAGCACTTTCAATAAAATTATTTAAATTAAACGTTTTTTACTTTTACTTCGTCATGCGCCTCAATATTATTGGTCGGTCATTAGTTTTTAGATCAATGAAATGAACACAAGAAATAAATCACAAAGAATAACAGCACAAACTTGCAGCTCGTAATCTGCAAGTTTGTGCTGTTAACTAATGTAAATGAGCCTTAAAAGAAGGCGTTCAACAGAAAATTTAAAAAATGTCGAATTTTAATCTAATATGTAGGATATTACTAAGAATTTGTTGCTGATAACGGTAGGTACTACTCGACATGTTTTCTGAATAAATGTTGTTTTAAACTGAATATTGTGAATTCGATAAAAGTAAGGTACCTACTTGGTAGCAATTCTGTAGATAACCATTATTCATATGTATTCTAAAGTTGTATTTATGATGGAGAACGGAAGAGAATCGAAGAACTTCCTTGTTCTGTTTGGGTAATTTAATTTATTTATGAGTTTTACACAGAAAAATAGCTTACTTCTTATATGTAGAGCTTTCGTTCGAAGTATTAAGAAGTGTTAGAAAATAACAAATAAGGAACGCTTGTCAAGAAAATGAAATAATACGTAATATAAATTTACAGTTTTTAATTTTTCACTTCAAACTGTCTTTCGGGACAAGAGCAGCCCTTGCAATTTCTTTCTAGTTCTTCTCGGTACATGTTCTCCCGCCGTAGATTTACGAATGGATGGCATTGTGTTTAGACTATTGACAAGTGCATGTAATAGCCTAATCTAATAATTTCATACTTGACAAAAGTTTGCGAATTCTTTAATAGATGTATAAAGTATCAATCAACTTTAGAGCCTTTTTATATAGCCCAATGGATTTTAAAGCCGTTCTGCGATCGATTAAAGAGTGAAACTCCGGACTGTGCTTCAAAAGTAATTTGTTTTTTCCAACGGTTTCTTATAAATGTTTCATAGTCAGGCTTTC